TTCTGTTGTCAAAAGATTTGGTAAAGGAAACCTTCACTTGCCTAAATTGTTTGAGAATCGAGAGAAGTTGTTCCGGGAGAAGTTGTGGACGTTATAAAGAGGAAGCTCCTGAGGTGTTGAAGCTGTATAAGATATAAATAGAACTTCACAAGATGACTAAAATGGGGTTGAAGCATGGTTTAGAGTGATGCAAGAATAGAATCCATTCATTATGATTTTTGGTTTTCTTTTTTTTTTTTAAAATGTTCTGTAGTTTGATTCCAGAACACACACCACACCACTTTTTTTTTTTTTTTAATTAGTAAATGGTCATTTCTTTTTTTTTTTTTGGCAAATGAGTTAAACTACTGCTCATGAATTTCTTACGCTATCATAACTTATTTGTTTTATTGTGTGTACGACTGCACAATGTGTTCTTGAATTCTGATGTTGACAAAGTCCTTTAAGCGTTTTGACTTTTGGGTTCCTTACAAAATTGGGACCATCCTAGTGCTCTAATTGATTATGTAATTCCATATACCTGTGTATCTCCAAAACACATCCCGCGCTCCTCAACAAAATTTCTCATTCTTTGGGATTGTTTCTCGTATCTTTCTTTGGCTTCAATACTTACAAATCGATAAATGTTCAACCTGACTCCTGTGGTACTCTTGCCTTTTGTCTTTCAGTCACTCCTTGATCTTTTAGGACCCATTGTTTTTCCTACACCCAAACTACAAGAACTTCACTTCACAATGTGGATGCACACAGCACAACTCAACCAAACTACAAGAAATTGCAGTAATATATGCAAATATTCACAATGTGGACCCAGTATTTTGTTGTTATTATTATTTTTTTTTTATCTGTATCTTGTGAGCATCTGTTATATGATAGTCAGTCACTTAATTGGTCCCAAAGAAAAGGAAATTCGTCACTTATTTTTTAACTCGGATTACTGTATGACAATGGCGTCTCTAGTAGAAGACAAAGAAATTTCGTTCGTGTATTGGTTTACACGGGAAGCAATTGTTTACAATAATTAATTTATTAGAAAAAATAAAAGAAAAATTGTATCTTTTGTGGTAAAAAAAGGAAAATAATTTAAATAATGAATCCTAACCATTGAATAATATAATTGACGTGTTAGATTATAATTGTAAGAATTAATATAAAAAATCAATTTAATAAATGATATGGCAATGCATGAGTAGTTTCATATTACTTTGTATAAAGTCTTTTGTAAAACTCACTGATAGGTGATTGAAGTCTAATATTTACCGGAAAATTCTAAGGGTCGGGGGTGTACTTGGTATTTTCTGCAGTTATGGGTGACACAAGTTATTTTAGAAGTTAAAGGGGGTGTAATTTTCTTAAGTCTATTGCCAAAATTATACCACTACCTAATTTGAATGATAGGCTGCCGTTTCAGTGGGACCACAGATAAATACTTTAGGTCTGCCTGCAATTCTGAACTTACCAGGGTTTTACCTTCACGGCTTCAGCTGTCCAAGATTTCAAGTTTAATGGTGAGATTTTAAAGAAATTTTCTCAACTCTCAAGCATAGGTGAGTTTATTGAGTCACTTTTGCAACTATGATGTTTAATTTTCTCTTCAGAAATTTACTTCATAGTCATGGAAGATACGCTAACTTAGCTTTATTAAACACTAATAAATTTCAAGATTTTTCGTGTCCAATTTTTGTCAAATACATCTCAACCAACTCAAATCAACAATCTTTTACCGTCTCATACCTTATTAATTCATGTGGGTTGTCTTCTGAATCTGCTTTAAAGGCATCCAAAGAAGTTGAATTTGATACTTCAGAAAAACCAGACCTAGTGGTAAACGTTTTCAAGAGCAGTGGCTTCTCACAAACCCAAATCTCAGACCTCATCAGAAAACGCCCAAATCTGCTTTTGTGCAATCCTGAGAAAACCCTTTTGCCAAAACTTGAGTTTTTTCACTCCAAAGGCATTTCAAGTCATGACCTTGCAAAACTTTTATGTCGGTGCCCTAATATCTTACAAAGGAGCTTAAAAAACCATATAATCCCTTCCTTTGATTACCTCAGTAACTTGCTTCAATCTAGTGAAAAGGCTATTACTTCTATTAAAAGCTCTCCAAGCATTCTTGAAACTTATATAGCACCTAAGATTGACATTTTGCGATATTATGGTGTGCCTGAGGCCAAGATTTCCACGTTTTTGTGTCATTGGCCTCACTCATTCTTAGTGAAATCAGATCAGTTTAAAGAAATTGTGAAGGAAGTCAAGGAAATGGGTATCAGTCCTTTGAAGATACAGTTTGTTCTAGCCATTGTCGCGAAAAGAATAATGAGCAAGTCGCTGTGGGAAAGGAAGCTCGATGTTTATAAGACATGGGGTTGGTCTGACAAAGAGGTTTTAGCAGCATTTTCAAAGTGCCCATGGTGTATGATTGCATCTGTGGATAAGATTACGGCGGCAATGAACTTTTTTGTGAACAAGATGGGTTGGGATTCCTCCATTATCTCGGTACACCCAGTACTTATTACAATGAGTTTGGAGAAGAGGCTTATACCTAGGGCTGCTGTAATTCAGTTTCTGTTATCGAAAGGTTTGATCAATAAGAAGATAAATAGTTTGACTTATATGTTTGAGTGCCCTGAAAACACCTTCCTGCAGAAATCTGTGAATTCTTATGATGAAGCTCCCCAGTTATTGAAGCTGTACCAAGAGAAGTTGAATCTTTCAGAAAAGGCAAAATGATCATTGTGTAGAAACACGGATGCATTATTTGTAGAATCCTTACATTGTAAAATCCAAATTGCAATTTTCTATAAGAAATGGAGTTTGCCTGAGGAAAAGGTTTTTGAAGCATTTGGGAGGAATCCATGGTTTATGATGGCATCTGAGGATAAGATTATGGCAGTAATGGATTTTTGTCAGTAAAATGGGTTCAGAGCCTTCAGTTATTGTCAAACGCCTAGGACTTATTACATTGAGCCTGGAAAAGAGAATTGTTCTAAGGGGCACCTGTTTTCTAGTTTCTGTTGTCAAAAGATTTGGTAAAGGAAACCTTCACTTGCCTAAATTGTTTGAGAATCGAGAGAAGTTGTTCCGGGAGAAGTTTGTGGACTGTTATAAAGAGGAAGCTCCTGAGGTGTTGAAGCTGTATAAGATATAAATAGAACTTCACAAGATGACTAAAATGTGGGTTGTAAGCATGGTTTAGAGTGATGCAAGAATAGAATCCATTCATTATGATTTTTGGTTTTCTTTTTTTTTTTTAAAATGTTCTGTAGTTTGATTCCAGAACACACACCACAACCACTTTTTTTTTTTTTTTTTAATTAGTAAATGGTCATTTCTTTTTCTTTTTTTTTGGCAAATGAGTTAAACTACTGCTCATGATCATTTCTTACTGCTATCATAACTTATTTTGTTTTATTGTGTGTACGACTGCACAATGTGTTCTTGAATTCTGATGTTGACAAAGTCCTTTTAAGTGCCAGATCATTGTTCTATTTTTCTGAATCTGAATATTGCTCCGTGTTTCCTTTAATCTTGTTTATTATTGCAAGACATTAAATTTCCATATGTTATTCTTTTTTGTCATTTGTTGAATGTATTTAGATTGAGAACAAAATCATCCGATGGTTCTCTGCCACCATGAGATTTGATTGTTCAGGTATGCTCCTAGCATTTTGCTGCAAGTCAGTGATGTTTACTGCTGAATACACCCAGAAATTCATTGGGATGTTCATAAGTTTGATTCACAATGCTTCAACAACATCATTAAGCTAAAAGTAACTGAACAGCAAATATATCAATTTGAATTTGCGCAGAATGAGGCGGCAGTATTTTCCTTATTCCATCCCATAAAGTTCCATCGACGGTAGACACACTTAGCAACAAACACAAGTTTGTTATGAAAGTTTAGCAGTAAGATCTAATACTATTATATTTGGTTAACAATGGCAGATTGGAATGGTGCTGGAGTGGTTCTCGGTTTAATTCAACTGATCATATATTCAGACTCCAGATCTGAGACGTGTGCCTGAGGATATGAAACGCCTATCTAAGTAAGGGCATTTGACAGAAAAGTGAAAGGGAAAGTGAAACAGAGACCACTGGGGATATTGTTATGAAAGTTTCTGATCACATTCGAGCGAACATGTCCAGTTCAAATAAAGCTCCATATTATGAAGATGAATTGGCTCTGATTTATAAAATGGTTAAATATAAAGGGATGAGTGTTATGTATGTTTCTTGTCAGTTGTTGAATTTATGCCTCTACAAGAGCGGTAATTGTACGTACACTCAACCGTGACAACGGCCGAGTTCGAACTGGAGAGCCGTCTCATAGGAGAATAAGAAATTGGTGACTATCGATAACAATTGGGTGTTAGGAGAATAAGAAATTGGTGAGGATGGATGACAAGGCATATTGGGTTTTAGATGTAGTTGCCGTTGTTGTGGGGTTGTAGATGTGGCGTTTTATGCAGTAGCGGTGGTGGTGGTTGATTTTGTGGAGGCCGAGACAATTCCAATGAGATCCATGGAGCAATTCTTAGATAGCAAGCTCTAGCTCCCGGTGGGACTTCATAAAAAGCAAACAAAGATAAGAGTGAAGAGAATGAAACGCACGTAGTGGTGATTATAGTGGAGGATTTTGGGGCGTGCATAGCCAAGGTTACGGCACAGAAAGAAAATTGGGGCCGGAGGATTTTGGGATGGGGAAGAAAGATAAAAGGCGGTTTGGGAATTTTTTAGGGTTTAAAAAATTATTCTATACTTTTTCAGTTAAATAATAAAGCTAATTAATCTTTCAAAATTGAGGGGGAAAGTGATATCACGCTAAACCTCTGGGTGGTAGTGAAACATGATTTTTTTTAGATTTGATTAAACTACTTTGAACAGATTACCCATAAAATTTATCGATCCAACGGCTACGATCAACTCAAACCAAATCCTCAATCAATCATCGATCAAAACCAACTTATCCTCCAGATTAACTGGATCGAACCTCAACACGACACGTGGATCTCATCTAAAAAGGTCCACTCAACCCATTATTTTGACCAAAACCCGCCACCTCATCACCCAAAACTCTCCCGACCACCTTTGCCGCCGCCACCAAACACTCAGTTCGTCATATAATCTTTCTCTTCCAACCGACCCAAACATGTCCTTAACTCTCTCTCTATCACCCTCCCTCCCCCATGCGCACCTTAGCCCCTCCCGCCATCCCATGTCTATCCTGCGCCGCCTCCCCACCTTCCCCCACCACCTAAAACCTCTACACCTTAAACCTCGCCGTCGGTACTTCGCCACAGTCGCTGCCGCAGCCGTACGGCAGGACACCACCGTCTGGACTCCAGTCCCGCTCTCCGAAGTCTCCCCTGCCGCCGAGTCGCTGTTCCACATATCGATAGACGTCTCTGGTGCGCCGGATCTCGTGGAAGGTCACACGCACGCGGGACAGTACCTCCAGCTCCGTCTCGCCGACGTAGCCAAGCCGACCTTTCTCGCTATCGCCTCTCCGCCGTCATTTGCGTCCGCGAGTGGCTCGTTTGAGTTCCTTGTGAAGAGTATAACTGGTTCGACGGCGGAGGTGCTGTGTGGGTTGAAGAAGGGAGATGTTGTTGAGATTAGTCAAGTCATGGGAAGAGGTTTCGATATCGATCGAATCCAGCCGCCTGATGCGTATCCAACGGTTGTAATTTTCGCTACCGGATCGGGAATTAGGTCAGATTCGTAATTTCAGTTTGTTCGAAAATGAAAATTGTGGATTTTTCAGTAATATTACCGCTTAATTACTTAATTACATGATATCTATGCTAGAACTTTGCTTAAAAATATATATATATATTTTTTTTAATTTAGATTATTTGCTACTAAACGTTTGTAAATTACTAAAACCCTGTATAGGGTAAATGAAACTCGTTGATTCAACTAAATATAGTTAATTTATAGATAGTATGAAATCGTATGAAGTTTTTGGTTGTTTAAGTTGAATTTCGAAGTGCATTTGTGCTTCCTAAAGCGTTTGATAAATTTCCCGAGAAAAAAAATGAGCTTTTGACAGTAGAGTAGGACTGCCAATTGTACCATTGATATATGGCTATTTTGTGAATTTGCTCATGACTTGTTATTTTGTATGTGCAGTCCAATCCGGTCGCTTATAGAAGCAGGATTTAGTGCGAATGACAGACCTGATGTGAGACTCTATTATGGAGCTAGAAGCCTCAAGAGAATGGCTTATCAGGTTTGTTCACTACGCTGTTAGAATTATGTTTCTTGTGTGAGTTGAGTTGGGTTTATGACCTTTTGTTTGTTTGTTTTATAGGATAGGTTTAAAGAATGGGAAGCTTCTGGTGTTAAGATTGTGCCTGTTTTATCGCAACCTGATGGGAATTGGTCTGGTGAAACTGGCTATGTACAGGTAGATTCTGTGTGTGCTTGTGTACACTTTCATGTTGTTATACAAGCAGCTTTTAGAATTATGAGCTGCTAACACCTCGGTTTTTATAGGCTGCTTTTGCTAGAGCCAAGCAGATTTATAGCCCTGAGGGCACTGGTGCTATTCTATGTGGGCAAAAACAGATGGCTGAGGTATGCTTCCGTTTGTGTTGAAATCTCTCACTATTTTTTCATGTCAATTCTTGATTGAACTTGGTTTTTGAGCTGCTGTGAGGGAGTGAGACTTTTCCTATGGCAAATTTGTTGCAAACAGCATGACTTGTTTACTGAGAATACTAGGTTTTTAAATGGGGATTCTGGCACCTTTCGGAAATTTTAGAAGGATTATGTGATAATTTCATAAGCTCACAGATTAAACAACAATACAAAGTTCATGGATTAGGTTTTTATTTGGAGATGTTGGTTGCTTCGTAAGCCACTACTGACTGTCTAGTTGAGAATAATGGAACAGTTTTTGCTAAGAAATAATCATCTAGATAAATCATATATGCTAGCTGGGTCAGTTTTCCTCCAATGGTTCTGCCCATTACATGAAATTCTGATAAATAATTCGCTTGTTATCTTTATATAGTAAGTTTTGTGTTCAATTGGTTAATGTAAGTATTAGAATTGTTAAATTCTGGAAGAAGTAATATCCAAGTTGTTTGTCGTCTACTTTGCAGGAAGTAACTTCAATTCTTGTAGAGGAAGGAGTGTCGAGTGAGAAGATATTGAAGAACTTCTAACAGAAATTCATAGGGGATTACTATAAATTGTTGTATTATTGTTGAGCTACAGTTGGTAGTGATTCTTTCTTCCAAGTGCTGCTGAGGATCAAATTTCTCTCCCAGCTAATAAAATCCAATTTTGCAGTTTTTGAGCATCATTGTATATATATGTTGTAATCGTCAAACCAGAGCTGTCTCCAGCAACTAAATTATAAAATTATATTATATACAAGTATGTTAGAACATACCTTTTTATGTATTAAAAGCTTATTTCATGTAATGTTTTCACATCTTATAGATAATGTTTCAGAAACCAAAACCCATATACCCACACAAAATGAAGGATAAACATTTAAATTTACAGCACACCATAATGTGAAATAATATGGAATGACGACCATATACAAAAAACCTACTCAATAAATAGACGAATTATGCTTGAAGCCACATTGCCACAACAATCTATATATGAGATATAGAGCCATAAAATTCAATAAGATAAACAAATATGAGATGATTTCATTTTGGATCATCACAGGAAGCACAAACTGTTCAGAATTTATGAACCCTACTAAGAGTAAATGCTAAAAATTTAATCTAGATAATAAATGGCATCAGGCCTCCACAAGTTGCAGTAACAATCATATAAATACTTTGTCCAAATCAATGTTTTACGATACAAACAAAGGAAAAGGTAACAATCCAGTAACATGATGAGCCATGACAATGAATATCCCTACATGGTTTAACATTCAGAAGCACCATTATTACTGCTTTTGTACGTGTGTTCTGTTTGGTGCTTTCCATTGGATTCTGCAGAATTGGAGAGCAACTGAATTTTCTTGTCATCTGAGTTGTTATGTGGACTTTTGTCGGTATCTGAGTGATGGTGATGGTGATGGTTACCCTCATCTAAGTGACTGTGACGGTGTTTGTGATGGTGGTGGTGATGATGCTGGCTGCTTCTGTGTCTTGTTTGTTTATCTGCTTCTCCATTGTTATCATCTGATGACCTCCCTAGGGATCTGCTTCTGCAGTCATGCTTGTTGCCATCAGAATCAGATGATTTGGAGTCCACACTGTGTGACCGTCGGTGACGCTTATGATGTTTTGTATGATTTCTCCTTCTCACCGAGCGAGTGTCCTCATCTGCCAAAGAATCTGTAGCACTAGACTCAGATCTGTGATGCCGTTTGTGTTGCCTTGGACGACTTCTCCTTCGGATTCTACCATCCTCACTAGAAGAATCAGAAGCATCAGAATCTGAACTCGAATCATTATGTCTGTGTCTTCTATGGTTTTGCTTCTTTCTCCTCTCTTCTTCAGATTCACTCTCAGAATCTGACCTTGAATCATTATGCCTGTGTCTTCTATGGCTTCGTTTTCTCCTCCTCTCTTCTTTAGATCCACTCTCATATTCATCGCTGCTATCATCACTTGAGCTTGAGGATCGTCGCTTTGGCTTTCTTTTCGATTTCTTCTCCCTCCTCTTCTCATTGTCACCTGAATCAGAGTGGGCATGCTTTCTGTGCTTCCTGTGGTCTCTTCTTCTTCTCCTTCTACCCTCATCACTGCTATCACTATCACTGTCAGTATCAGAATCAGACACAGATCTTTTATGCTTTGCAGTCTTTGACTTCTTTTCCTTGGCTTCAGCATCAGCCTTCGCCTTTGCAGCAGCTTCTAGCTTCTGCTCCCATTTTAGAGGGGCCTCTTTCCTCTCCAAAGCTCTCTTCTTTTTCTCCTCAACCAACTGGATGAACTTCTTGCAGTCCATTTATATATAAAAACCAGCTCAATTCCTGCATGTTGGTATGATGATGATTGAATGTACATCTCACAGAAGAGAAAAAACAATGTTAGCTCTTCTATCATCAAATTAAATCATAATAAAATTGACAGCTGTATGTAATTAGTAAGAGTACACATTTATACATGTCAAAAACAATCTTGTGATCATTATGAGATACTAGGATCAAACCAAAATTAAAATTAACATGAAGCTACACTACCAGCCATTAGGAATACTTCCAAAATACATGACAAAGATTATGAAAACAAAAGGCATTTAAAAATTCAGACATAAAATAACCAAGTTAGACTATTTCATCTCATAAAATGCCAAACACTAACCATTCCGTCAAATTCAAACAAAAGTCTCAGTGATTAACACAACTTAGGATTAACGTTTTCTCTATTCCACAAGTTCTATCCTCCATAATACTCCACTATGATCGTGTCCAAAGCTCAGATGAAAGAGAAAATAATCTAGAAGTTTCATACAATCTTGTCGCTTCATGAGTAACTATTTCAAACTTAAAGAGAAACTGAAAGAACTCTAGCTCCAATTTAAAAAAAAGAATTCACCCATGTTTTCTGTTATAAAAAATTGAATCACATATATCTTCTATAAAATTAAAACATGTGATGTATTCCACTTATCAAAAAGAAAAAGCTAAACAACTCATTGCATGAAAATACTATGCATATCTACGGTATTTAGATAATTAATTAGCAAACTACAAGAAGGAAAGAAAAAATAAAAATAAAAAAAGAAAAACAGATATCTAATTAACAAACAAGATTAAACAAATTTGATTCAACTTTCTTACCTTATATGAACTGGCACAATCTTGAAACGGAAGACCTAGCTCAAATGCCCAAACTCAGAATGTTCCAGACCAACGAAACAGATCTGCAAACAATGAAATAAAATTTTTATGGTCCGGTCCCGAATCTTGCTGATCTAAGCTAAATAACAATTATACACCTTAAAGATCAAGACAATCGAAACAACAGAAGAATACGAATTTAAGAGGCTCTAAATGTCCAAAGTTAAATTGTAAATCAAAACATAAATTCGATCAAAATGCCCTGAAACTAAAAGTAAAAAAAGTTTATCAAAATCCTTTCTTCACACTAGAAATCAAAACTACACAAAACCCTAACGAGTAAAACACAATCAACAAACTAAATAAATGTTTTTAACAGCAACAAGCAAAAAGAAGAGTCATGACAGAATAAAGCGATGATCTCTGATAACAGCCTAAAAAGGGAGTTTTCTTTGTTAAACCCATGAACCGCATAAACCCTAATGGCAAAACCGATTGAAATTGACACCTTCAAATAACAAGAATAACAAATCAAACCATATATAACAATTATAAAGGAAAAAAAAAAAAAAAAAAAACCCTTAAAGATTGGGCTTTTATCACCCAACTCATTAACACAATAAACCACGAAATCAAAAGAAAAAAAATAAAGCTAGAAGAAGCTCTAACATATAAAAAGCAACTAAAATAAAAAATCTAGAGATTACAAAATATATTAAGCTAAAGCCAAGAACTTTGCAAAAAATATAACAAAGAAACCATAAAACCTATCTTTCTATCACAAACCCATTAAACAATAAAGCTTAAAATCACAAATTAAACCCAAAAGGACGCAAAAAATTAGCTTCCACTAAAAAAAAAAAAAAAACCCTAAACGGCATCAATTGACAAGCAAACAAACACTACAAATTACAATTTAAATTCAAATCAAAACCCTTAAAGGCGAATCGAAAACGAAAAGTACCTTAATTGGAGATCAACAGAAGAGCTAGAAAGATCTGGCCAGTCGGGGGCTTCTTTGCTTTAAAACTAGGGCTTGACTTCGCTCCCTTCCAGAAACGTCTATGGTTTGGTCACTAATTTATTAATTTCTTATTAAAATTTACACGCGCACATGGTTATGTTGGCGCGTTTTTTTCTGGTACTTAGTCCTGGGCCTGGGCCAGGCCTTGTTGTTTACGCTCAGGCCCAGCACGCGTTTAGTCAACTGCCGTGGTCTTCATTCTAAACGTGGTCGTTTCGTATTGTGAGCTTCGGTCACAATATATTAAAAAAATTAAACTTAAAAAAGAAATATTAAATAATCTTTATATTATATTATATTGTATTGTTTTTAGTTTACTTCGCTAATAAGAAAAATCAAATAAATAAAACCCAAAAACAAAATTAAAAAAAAAAAAAAAAAAACCCCGAGTCAATACACTCTTTACCTATACATCATCTTCCTCTTTCAATCTTTCTCCTTCAACTTCCGATTTTACTATCTTCAATCATGTCCACGTCATCGCCTACCACCGGCTCCTCGGCCGGCTCCCCAGCCACCACCAACATCATGCTCGCCATCTTCGAAAAGAAGACCTCATCAATCGACCTCTACCGTCCCTTACGCAACTTCATTTCCCTCACTTACTCCGAGCGCGAAGCCATCAATCTAGAGGACGATCTCCTCACGCTCAAGCAACTCCGCTCCGACATCGAGCGCGTCACCGACCCCACGCCTTCCACGCGCCGCGATCTCTTCATAAATTACTTCAAAGCCCTCTGCCTCGTAGAGACGCGCTTCCCCATCTCCCCCGACAAGGACCATATCAATACGCTGACGTTTTTGTGGTACGACGCGTTTAAGACCAAGCAGAAGGCCAGTCAGCAGAACATTCATCTGGAGAAGGCGGCGGTGTTGTTTAATTTGGGGGCAGTGTATAGTCAGATTGGTTTGTCGTTTGATCGCACGACCGTGGAGGGGCGGCGTCAAGCCTCGCACGCGTTCATCACGGCGGCTGGGGCGTTTGCCTATTTGAGAGATAATGCGTCGACGAAGGCTAGCATGGGGAGCTCCACGACGGTGGACGTCGGCCTCGAGTGCGCGGGAATGTTGGAGAGGTTGATGTTGGCTCAAGCTCAAGAGTGTGTGTTTGAGAATACGATTGCTAAAGGGAGTACGCCTGGTGTTTGCGCTAAAATTTCTAGACAAGTTAGTGCCTTTTATTTAGCTTTGATTGATTGATTGGTTAATTAATTAATTTAATAATTTTTTTTATATTGTGAATTGTCGTGAATTATGGAACAGTTTGACGAAAGTTTAGATGTTGTAAATATATAGATTAAAAGTTTTATTAGTTTATTGATTTGTTTGTTTTAATGGTGAATTGTGTGTAATGTTAGAAGTGTGATTGCTGTGATGATTTAGTGGTGAATTGTCGATTTCTTTTTTTGAAAGGAATAGATTTAGGAAGATTAAGGGTTATTTTTTATATGGTGATTTTCTATGTAAATTTAGATATTAAGATTGTATATTTATTTGGAATTTGTAGTGCATGACTTGTGAGGTTTAAGGTTTTATTAGTTTATTGATTTGTTTGTTTTAATAGTAAATTTTGAGTAATTTTAGAAGTGTGATGATTTAGCTATAAATTGTGGAAGTTTTTGTTGAATTAGGACTAGTGTGGTTATGAAGTTAGATAGAAGTTTTGATGGTGTTTGTTGATCTAAGAATGAAAGTTTTCTAGGAAGGATGAGGGGATATTGGTGTTGGGTTTTTGCAGTGTGATTTTGTATGTAATTGCTATTAGAAGGATTACAAATTTCATGTGGATTTTTGTGATGTATAACCTTGTTAGTTTTAGTATGTTAAGATGAGAGGTAATGATAAACAGTAGTATATGTAGAATGTGAAATTCTGCGTTTAGCCTTGCGATGTCAGGGCTTTTTTGGTTAAATAATTTGTTATATACTGTCATTTTTTAATAGTGTGATGGTTTAGCTATGAATTGTGGAACTTTTTTGTTGAACCGGCATTGCTTGGGCATGAAGTTGACTTAAATTTAGATGGCCTTTTTGGTGATTTAAGAAGGAAAAATTTTAGCAAGGGTGGGGGATATTGGTGTTTGGTTTTTTATGTTGTAATTTTTATCTAAATTTATTTACAAAAATTGCATATTTATGTGGATTTTGTAGTTAATAACTTGTGAGATTTAGTATATTAAGATGCTATGGAATGTAAAGCGAATTTGAAATTCTCAATAACTAGTTATCCAAGCTTACTTGTGGTCCAAAACTTCTTATTTTTTATTTTGATTTTTATTGACTCATGTTTGAGACTGGGGCCTCTAGAAAAGGAATGGATTTTAATCTGTATGTGATCTTTAGGAATTGAATCTAGAACTTGTGAGAGCAAACCATGGGCCTGAATGATTGAGTAAACTCCCATATTTATGCGACTCCTAAACTGTTGTTAAAATTGTTGATCACTTTGAATTTTATCAAATTTGAGGTGATGTTTTTTGTTGATTGTGTCGCCATAAATATTGTAAGACTGTCTCTACTCAGGGTTTACTGGTTTGATCACTTGTTTAACTTGTTTTATGATGTGTTTAATTGCAGGCTGGGCTATACTATGAGGAAGCTTTAGCAGCATTGATTGTTGCACCCCTGAAGGATCATTTTGATAAGGGATGGATTTCTCATGTACAGCTTAAAGCTGCTCTTTTCTATGCTGAAGCTTGCTATAGGTATAGTTTAGAGCTGCATGAGAAAGAAGAGATTGCAGAAGAAATTGCACGGTTGAAGAGTGGCATTAGTGCTTTAACTGAGGCGAAGAAGTCCTCGAGGGGTGCTGCAGCGCAACTTTTGGATGCAATGACCAAGTTAGAGGCCAATCTTAATCGCAATCTTGAGAGAGCTATGAAGGAAAATGATAGAGTTTACCTCATGAGGGTACCCTCCCCCAGTTCTTTACCACCTCTTCCAGCATTTTCCATGGTGAAGCCAATGTCAATGAATGAGGTGCTCGATGCGAGCAAGGAGAAGATGTTTGCAAGTCTTGTTCCAGATAGTAGTGCAAAGGCACTTTCCAGGTATACTGAAATGGTTGACAATGTCATCAGGACACAAGCTGAGAGATTGCAGCAAGGGAGCGAACTAACTCGAGTGAGGCTGAAGGAAATGGACCTGCCAGATTCTATTCTTGCCTTGGAAGGGAATATGACTCTCCCTACGGATCTTAAAGAGGATGTGGAAGCTGTGCAGATCAGTGGTGGTCCGGCTGGTTTGGAAGCTGAGTTACAGCAACTTAGGGATCTGAAGAGGGTGAACCAGGAATTGCTTGTCCAAACTGAGGAACTTTTGCAGAAAGAAGCAACTGAAGATGCTCAATTTAGAAGCCAGTTTGGAACAAGATGGACTAGGCCGCAGTCCAGCACTCTGACGAAGAATTTGCTGGATAGGTTAAATAGATTTGCAGGTAACTTAAAGCAGGCTGCAGAAAGTGATGCTCGAATTGAGCGTTCAGTCAGAGATAATGCTGCACTCATGTCAATCCTTGATCGTCGTCCAGTATGTGTCTCTAACCATTTGCTGTAGTTCTAATGTGCGTAATTAAGGTTATTTAGTTCTGTTCCATCCTTATACTATAGGTCTTGCAGGGTGCAAATAATCATTTGGCAATATTTTTGTTTCAATCTTCATTTTTATTTAATTTAAAATTTTGAACAGTGTTAGTGCATATGATGAAATTTGCATGCTAATAAGAACCTTGAAAGCAGTTACTCTCTGTCTTTCTTGGTTACTCACTAACCATTTTCAAATATTATGCTTCAATTGGATATTTGATCAGCTTAAGGGTTTTCGAGTTGGCTGTTTTAATTGGACATTTTCTTTATAGGTTTAAAATTAAATACAATAAATTTTCTTCCTGTGGCTTTATTACGTGTGTCCTGACATATTTGGATTTCTCTCTTTTCAGATAGAATCTGCTCTTCCAACTCTGGCTAAGCCAATAATGTCTTTGGATGCGACTGAGGATGCTATTGTGGGGGGATTGAAGCAGAGCTTGGTAATTTCTAATTTCCATCATAAATCTTGGGCTCATGTTCTAAATTTGTTATGACTTCTGTATTATTAATATTACATACCATATTTGTAGTTTTCCTCCCATCTTTCCCACCTCAACCAAAAAAGAATAGGGTAAAAAGATTAATCACTGGGCCCATTAATTTTGATTGTAGAAACCATTCATTTTAGTCCACTAGCAATGAGTGATATTAAGATTTCTCTGTTTACTACAATTAACTTCAGGACTGTGCTTGATGTTTGCAGAGGCAATTGGAGACTCTTGGGGCTCAAAGGGCAGGTCTTGAAGACATGCTCAAAGAGATGAAAAGAAAGGTCTGCTTAATTTATTTGGCAATAATGTTGTTGCTAACTTCTTGATTGAATGTAACCTTCCTCTTTTTTTTTCTCCTGAAGTTCCTTAAACATCGGCATACTCAGTAAATCTGCATGAACCTGTAATCTTCGAGTCAATGGCTTAATATCTATTCTTTTGTAACATTGAACATTAATTTTGTTGTATCTTGGTGACTTGGGTAATACTTGCAACTGCTTGGAGATTATGTGTAACTTGCTGGTAGAATTGTTCTCTAAATTTTAATTTATTAAAGTGAGACTCCTTGATTCTAATGCTCCCTTAGTCCAACATGCCATATGGGTAGGATTGTCTTATTGTTCATTTTCTATTAGTAAATTCATGTGGCGTGCCTTCCTTCATGATACTTGATCATGGGTGATTATTTCTTTGTTGCAAATTAATTGTTGCATTTGTTTCTATAGTACATTTCAGAGGCTTCTTTACATGTATGAAGCGAAAATATCATACGTTGATTTCTCTTTTTATTAACATCTCTGTGCCAGTGATGTTACTTCTAGTGTATACTTGGCTTGGCTTATGTTATTTATATATATGGTGGCTTCAGGATGACATACTAACAAAGTTGATGACAATCACTGGATCATATGAGGATCTCTTCAGGAAGGAGATATCGAAGTATGATCGTATTTGTGAAGACATTGCCCATAATATCGAGGCACAAGAGCAATTGTTGTATCAAATTCAGGTTATTTCTGGCTTCTACCATGGTTTTCTAAACTTGCTTTGCACTCATTTCAAAAGTTCAAAAAACCTCTACATTTGCCTAGATTTATATCTGATGTTTTCATGGGAATCAATGCCTGTTGACGTAAAAGATTTTAATGGTGGCTAGAATATATAATCTGGAAAAGCGTGATCTGTAGACATAATAAGTGGCTAACTGCAGGGACTGTCTTTTCCATGTCATAATTTTCTTCATGTATTGGTAGATGTTAGAGCTTCCTCATTTGTATCCTTCGAATCAATCATCCTACAACAAGTGAATGGCATTCTATTCCCTTTCTATTTGCAAATGTGGAATTTCTGTTTCGCATCTTTATTTTTTAGTAGACCTAATTCTAGAATCAGCATGTGTAAACAAATGGTTTTTGTATTTTTTGTCCAGGCTCAAAATGAGGAGTTTTCTGCCATTTTTAATCTTGAAGACTACAAAGGTAGGTTTCCTTTGCTTCTTATTTGGCACTGTGCTTATTTATATCCTGATTGAGAATTCTGTGAGCTTCTTTTTAATATTCATCAGCTTGTGTGTTAATACGATATTGCCAAAAATCACCTTTATATCTCCTTCTTTCAAATGTTTGAGGTTTTTTTTGCCTCCCTAGACGTCAGTGATATACTTAGAAGGTCTTTATAGTTTGGTTTATATCCGAAATTGTATTTTCCTTGTCTTACTTATGCTGTTAGTTTGCGTTTTCTCATTCAAGTGCTGTATTCATCTATAGCGTAAGTACTGTTATTTTCTTTTGATTTTGTTCATTTCTCTCTTTTTGTCTCAGCATCCCGAGAGAAGTGTTATAAGCAAATTCAAGCTGCCATAGCCAAGTATCGTGAAATTAAGGAGAACATTAACGAGGGATTAAAGTTTTATGTTACCCTTCAGGTAAGAAATTGCTTATTGCTTGCTTAAGGTTGTAATATTTGGAGTCATTGTATCCTCAAATTGTTGAAGTGGATGTTATTTTACTTCCTCTTTTCACTGTTGATGAAAATAATCGGGTGTTGTGTGAACCCGCTTACTTTTGTGGATATTTCACATGTCTTCACTTGATGAGCAGGACGCAATTACAAATGTCAAGCAACAATGCAGCGATTTTGTTATGACCAGAAATATCCAGTGTCGAGAAATGATCGATGACGTACAGAGACACATGGCAGGTCTCAGTTTCCAGGACCGCAAGACCTCTGTTTCTTACGATGGCAGCTACCCTTCAGTAGGACCACCTCCTCATCAAATTCCGAGGTCGACTGCACCGCCGCAAACAGAACCTCCAAACACACCACCCATGCCTCATCCCCAAAGTCCTTACTACCGGCCTCCAGAGCAGCCAACTATGCCCGGGTATGGCCACCCCCCTCCCCCTTATGGCACCCCACAGCAATCCCATCCTTACCATGCACCCCCTGCACCTGCTGCTCCCTACCCGCCTCAACATCCACAACAACAGCCACCGCCAAGCCACGACTATGGCCAACCTGCCTACCCAGGGTGGCGGGGGCCTTACTACAATGCCCATGGACAACAACCCGGATCTCAGCCACGACCTCCTTATACAATTCCATCTCCATACACGTATCCTAACCAAGGTGGGTACTATAAGCAATAATTGTGTAGCATCTATTATTATTTTTCTTTTTCTTTTTCTTTTTCGGAGATATAATGTTTAATTTTTGGACGATGAACTTAGTTCCACCACCAGTGGAATGATTCGGGTACAGCACTACAGCTAGGTTCTACATTTGTGTATGGTGTTGTTTCTTTTTTGGCTGTTGATATTGCTTTTGTATAGCCTGAGGAGTGAGGACTTCATAATATTCAGATTTATGCATGATACAGATTTTTATTTTCTGTGAATGAAATACTGTTTTTTTCTCAATCATTTTGTACATTCAGCAGCAAAAACCCAATTCATATTAAGTAATATTACGTCAACAACCCATTCTTACAAATTTCTCTTACAATTCCGCTCTCTTATAACCTCGATATAACCTCGATATGACACTTGACCTAATACTGTCACAGCAGTCCTATCACATCTAAGAAACAGTCGTTCTTTCATAGAGAATGATCGTTCTTTATAAAAGAATGATCGTTCTTAAAGAAATTACCTTTTCTTATAAAAGAATAATCGTTCTTTTAATAAAGAATGACTATTTCTGAAGAAACAATATTCCTTCAAAAACAAAATTGTCTGTAGAAGAAGAGAAAACAAAATTGTTCGTAGAAGAAGAAGAACCATGTTCCACAACAGCTGTTCCTTATGGATGAAATAAATACATCTTCAACTTCCATAGTCCTCCATCTAATAAATCAGAAAACCAAAAATCAAAGAGTTATGCAATATTCCTTTGGATGGGCATAAAATGATGATTATGGCATACAATTGAAGATCTGGGTAATTTGAATATTCCATTGAACAAGACATGTTCTTGATTTACAAAACCGAATACTCCGTCAACAAGTTTTGATGACATCTAATTCTAAGTAAGAATTAAATCTCTAACCTTGTAAGTAACCTAAATTTCACTAACGAGGGACCTTCTCACTTCCTAGAAGGTCCCTCTCACAAAATCTACGCCCCATCATCTCCTCAAGTGATGAAGCCATATTGTCTCTCAACTCCTCCATACAAGCCCTCCTTCTCTCTAGTTCCTCCAACTCCAAGCCTTCTATGTCCTCCTCCCACCAATACTCCTCCTCCTCCTCTTCGTCTTCTTCTTCTTCGGCGGAATTCTCTGATACACAATCAAAATTCTCTTCTTCGTGTGATAAGGAAATGATAGACCCTCTTTCATCACCCACATTGTATTGATTTTGATCTTCTGGTTGTTGTTGTTGTTCTTCATCTTCTTCACTCAGAAACTGGTCAATAACACGGTCAACAGACGGGTAGCCACAACTATAAACTCTCCCTTTCGGAGAAAACACAATTATAGCGATCATCACATCACATAACTGGCAAAGTTCACTACCCTTTTTGAATAAACCTTTTCGTCGCTTCGAGAATGCAACTTTTCGACTTGAATTCTTCTCTATTTTCTTCATCTCAATCTTCTTCCGTCCTGTACCATTAGGTTTCTTCTTTACTCCAGTCTGCTCTGGCTCCCGCTCCGGGGAAGACGAGGACATTGTAATAGACTTATAGTACAACTGTTAAAAAGAAAAGTATGTAGCGAGGTTTGTTTGCAGAGAGAAACATGCACAAAAATGAAAAGCGCACCTTTTGGAGAGTGGAGATTCTCTAAATGTATTTAGATATAGAAATTGTGAGCCTTTATGGGAATTGGTTTAGTATATAAGAATAGGGAAGTTCGAGAACATTAAGATAAAGAGTTTTTTGAGAACAAGGAAATAAGGATTAATTGAAAAAAAAAATGGAAAAAGAAAAAGAAAAACAACTCGTTAAATGTTGCCACTTTTGTTATCAAATATCAGTTAGGAAAAAAATTCTATTGATTTCCCTTTTTTAAACCCTTTTAAATTAATCGCCGCAGCCGTCGCCGCTGCTGTCCTCGCTTCGCGATCATCTGTTTTGCGGGTTTCGTCTTCGCCAACCACCCAGATTCAGTTACGCCGACGCTGTTTTCAGCCGCCCGCTCTCTTCCAGTCACCGCCGCTGCTAATTGCCGCGCCTGTTTTTGTATCGCTGTTCTCTCTAACAGCCGCCCCATCTCACCTTTTTCCGTGGGTACCAGCTCTGCCAACACATAGCTGCCTTTCTTCCGTGAAAATGGGGAAAACAACGTACAAGAGGCTAAAGGGAAGCCAGAGCTTCAGACAGAGACTGGTATTGGCTACGCTCACCAGCACTCCCGTTCTTATAGAGGACATCCGCGCCCAGGAGAGGTGGCCTGGCCTTCGCCCTCATGAGGTCTCCCTCCTCTGCCTCCTCGAGAAAGTCTGTGACGACTGTGTTGTTGAAATCAATGAAACGGGTAATTATTAATTTGCACTGCGAAGTCTGTTGGATTTTTTTTTTTTTTTGGTATTATAGAGTGGCTTGATATGATTGAATGTTTATGGGCAGGTTCAAAAATGAAGTACAAACCGGGAACAGTGATGGGAGGGGGAAATTTAGTGCATGACTGTAGTGTTAGTAGGTCTGTTGGGTATTTCTTGGAGCCCTGATTGTAATTGGGTTGTTTGCTAAGAAACCGATTTTGCCTATTTTGTTTTTGAATGTTTGTTATGCTTATGATTTAATCGCTAAATATTAGAATGAATGCAAAGGTTACTTTGGAGATGGGAACTTTTGCTTTGACTTATACGGTGATAGAGAACAAAAGGAAAAACTAATTTACTTCCATATATTTGTGTATGACGAACTATATATTGCTTTCCATGCTTTTTACTCTAACTGATGTCCTCAAGTTCCAGACATGGTGAAGTTACTTGCTGCCTAGGAGGAAGAAGTTCAATTATGATCGAATTTTTCGCAGACAATTTTTTTTTTTTAAAGTTTAAACTCTATTCTTTTCTTTGTTGTGAAATTTTACAATTTAGTGATTATTTGTGTAAAATATAATGAGTGAAAGAGATAGATTATGCATTAAATTAGATAAATTCTGTGGATAGCAGATTGTTCCATGATTTTTTAAGACATTGATTCCATGTAATTTTTCATGATCTTTTAACAATCCTAAGGCATTTAAGAACTATAAACACATGCTCTTTAATGAAATTAGAGATTTTGCAGGTGTCTATATTGTTTTTTTTTTTCTTTGTATTTTTCATTGAACAAATTTGTAGATGTTGCTTCATATATCAAGGTTAACTTACAAATACATCCACCCTAGACTTTATCTCATTTATGGATGCAGTAATCATATCTCTTTAACTCGATATTCTAACACAAATAATCAAACACTTCAAAGTTTGTCAAAAAGTAAGGGGTAGAGTTTAAACTTATAGAAATTTCAAGACCTAAAGCACCATTTATATTAGAAGCTTCTGCTCTTAGCCTTTAAATGGAACTTGAATCAATGTATGTGGATATATATCTCTTGTTGTAAATCACTTGTAGAGTGATATTTGTCACTAAAAGGGTGTTTCTTCAAGTATTATTATTTTTTGTTTCAGGAATCACAAATGATTCTAAGGACCCATGTGTGGATACTTTCCATTCAACTACCTTACCCATGTTGAAGCGCTTTGGAGTTCCTTGTGAAGGATTGGGGCTGAAAATAGAGAGTCGTGGATCTCCACCTCATGGTGAGGGACCAGTTATTGTGACTATTCCAGTTATTGATAAGTTAATGGTGAGCCTTTGAATTTTAATGTAGTACACTGTAAATAGAATGTTTTCCAAAAGATTACAAGGTATAACCTTGGTGCACAGTACATTGAAAACAGTAACAGCAAAAGACAAGATAGAAGAGGGTAAAGGAAAGTGCATGAAATTAAAAAAAGACTGACAAAAAAAGATAAGAATCTATGGGAGGCTATCTATTTTGTATATTTTTCTTATGCTTTTTCTTTGTACAGGCAGTTAATTGGCTTGATGAAGGAATGGTTTAAAGGATTAGAGGGGTCACCTACTCAACCAGAGTGTCTTCTCAGTTTGAAAATAACATGATTCATGCTGCTCGTGGAATCTTCAATCGTGCGCTTCCAGATGTTCACATCTTTACTGATCATAAAGCTGGTCCTGAAGCTGGAAAGTATGGTCTCATTTGGCTTTAGATATTATCCTTTTTTCTTTTAGGGTATACATATATTTATTTATTGTGCTAAGTACAACTTATCTCATCAAGAGGAGCAATTTGATGGCAGGTCACCTGGTTATGGAATTTCACTGGTTGCAGAAACTACTTCTGGTTGCTTCATTTCTGCTGATACTGCAGTATCTTATGCACAAGGAGAAGTAGGTGAAATTGATAATGATGAGAAGGAGGAGTTGATGCCGCCGGAGAATGTTGGTGAGGACATTGCTTCATTTCTTCTTGAAGAGATTCAGAAAGATGGAGTCATAGACTCGACACACCAGGTTGTGTTATATAAATTACTCCCGTATCTTTACATCTTTTGACTTTTCTCATTATTTTGATGAAATATTCTGAAGGATCTCTTTCCATTTCTCTATTGATCGGAATTGAATGATTTGAATTATAAGTTGACTTAGGAATTTAGCACTTTAAGTCATCATTTGTGACTTTAGGCTAATTCTCAACTTCTTCCATCCCTCCAGTCCTGTGGTCTTTTGATGGAAACCATTTGGTTTACATACCTTTTTAACTCTAATTTATGTTGTCTCCCCTTAACCTTTATAACTAGTTGTTTTTTTCCAAATTTTGGCTCCATAGCATTCCAAGAAGCAAGGCTAATGTGATGTAACCCCCCTTTCTTTTTTCTAATAATTTTTCAGCCTGTCTTGAATTGTTTTTATTATTGGAGGACTTCTCTTGAAGGATGCCATAGTAAGAACATAAACCTTATTTTCCCTTCTTTCTCATTATATAATGTGGAATAGCTTTATCCTCTCAAAATATTGGGAATAGCCATATTGCAAAACTATTATCCTCTCAAAATACTGGGAATAGCCATAATGCCAAACTACCTACCTTTGTAGTAGAAGTGCACCCTTTTTTCGGACGCAATACAAAGGTTTTTCCCTCAGCTCCTTTTTTCATAAACTGGGTTCTTTCATAAAAATATATACCTTAAAAACATTGTGTTCAGCTTGACAATTACTATGGCTATTAGTATAAAGTGGGGTTCTCATATATATCTTCAGCAGTGCTTATCATTTGCAAAATAAAGCTGAAATATTATCTAGTTAAGCCAGCATTTTAATACTTATGTGGTGCCTTCAACATCATAGCAACGTGATATAAGGCTTGCATTAATTTGTAGGATTAGCTCACATTTTAGCTTTGATTCCTGTTATTGACACAAAGGAGAGAGAAAAAGAGAAACCGGACGAAAAAGAAATGAAATGCTGTCAGTGATGTGTTCTGTTAGTTATATTTCCGTTACAACACCTGACCATAATAGTTGTTATATTCTGTTTGTAGGGTTTGTTATTTCTTCTCTGTGCGTTGTGTGAACCAGATGTTTCGAAGGTTCGTGTTGGAAAGCTGTCACCATATGGAATAGAAACACTTAAAAGCATCAGTGATTTTCTTGATGTTACATTTGACATTAGGCCAGATCCATCAACAGGGACAGTTATACTTAGATGTGTGGTATGCGGATATAAGAACCTAGCTAGAAAGGTTTCATGATTATTTCACATAGCAGAAGATGTTATTGATTTTACAGTTGATGGTATGCTTCTTGCTGTGGATAGTTATTTTCAACAGTCGTCTTAGATGCTTCAATTGGTGAGATTAGGATGCTTCATTGGCTTGAAATTTTGATGTGATCACGTCAGAAGAGTAATGAAGATAAATTTTAGAATGATGGAGCTCCTAATATGATTGGTGTTCCAGTCCTACATTACTATCAAATTTTGATTCGATAAAATTGTATTATAGAATCATGTTCTGAGAAAATTAAGTTAACCAAATTCTTTTATGGGCTGTTAAAGGGTGTGACATGATAACTATTCTTGTTTATGAATTTGCCTTCTGCGAAAAATTTGACAATATTACCTCTACCCTTGTGGTTGGATGACAAATCCTTTAATCAGTGAGATTAATTATACTCAGAGGTTTTGTGTTCAAGTCCCAGGAAAGGTATGCACTATATTTGTGTAATTATCTTAGTCTATTAGGCTTGCAAAGTATTCCATGGCTCTGAGGATTAGGCAGACTTCAATATAAGGTTGGATACCTCAAATACCCATAAAAAAAAATTTGATAATATCCATGCGAGGAAGAAAAATTTTCAATGATTTTTAAGATTTAATATAAGTGGAACGATAACATTTGAACGGAGAGAAAGTGAAGAGAAAATTAAAAAAAAAAAAAAATTGAGGGAATTATTTTAACCAAAATGAATTAGATCCAATTTAAATAGATCGATCTATTTTTATAATCTTCAGGGCCGTGCAGGGAAAATCTCAAAAAGGTTCATTACATATCTTATTTTTAAGGTCACACTTCCTCCTCAATAATTAAATCTCCTTCTCATGTCTAATATATAGTTCCTCAATTATTTATTGTATATGAACCCTTTTTTTGTTTAATTTCACTTGAATAACCTTATTTGTTTTCTCAGTTTACCTTGTGTCACGGGTTGAGAGTTTCACAGGATTGGGTGGGGAAGAATATCACGGATCTCATATCGGAAGTGCATTGAGAAAGTCTTGAGCTTATAAGAAGGAAGTCTCTCCACCTAACGAGTTAGCGTTTTGAATGTGAAACTCCCAATTCGTGACACTCAACTAACTTACTATATTAGGTCGAATCTTCGTCTCAAATCTAGCTTCTATACATATCAATTAAGTATACGTATATTTCTCATTGTTTTCTCTCTCGAACAAGAAACAAGAGACAAAAGGAGATTAATTAAACAAAGAAATAAGTTTCTATCATGGAGGTGGTGGGAAATTGATGTGAAATATTATAAACAAATGGATTCTCTTTCATTAATATAGTGGAAGAGGACAAACATTATTCTTTGATTTGAAGATCCACAAATTAAGATGGGCATAATCCCTGCCATGTTGGGACTTGGCTCGGCCCAACCCGAACGGGACGGAGATTCCCCGAATTGTTCAGTTTGGGTCGGGCCTAGGCTGAAAAACAGTCGACGAATTCGAGGACGGGATTAGTCTCGCCCCGACCCCCACCTGTTTTGTCCCGTCACCGAATTATCCTTGCCTTGACTTCCCCGACTTCCCCGGCCCTATATATATATTGTAGTAAGGTTTAATTTTAACCATTTAATCCTATATTAATTTGAATAGCTGAAAATCAATCAATGAAGTCATAAATTATACAAGAACAAATTATAATTGTATGAGTATTTTATGAAACCATTTACAAATGAGTAATAAATAATAATAGATTAAAAAAAATATATTTTTAATACATAATAAATATGTTATATATGTATAATGTATCTTTTCATATATATAATATATGTGTTATATATATGTAATGTATTATTTAATATACATAATACATATATGTTATATATGTATAATGTAAAACAAAAGTTATACATTATACATTATACATTATATATAATATGTTATTATCTGTACAGATGTGGGGTCCTTTTGGCTTCTTATGTTTTGATTATAAATTTGTAATATAATGTAATATATTATAAATTTATTATGATGGTCTTCATGTTTAATATATACATTATAAATTTAATTTCTTTTTGGATGATATACATTATAATTCGAAGAAAATGATAAGATAGGCTTAAGATGCAAAATCCCCAAACGGGGAATTTGGGGATCGGGCCTAATTCAGGGATTTCTCGAATTTTCTGTTTGAACTTCGAGCCGAGACCAGAGAATCCCCTTGGACTTTTGAGTTGAGGTCGGAAATAGGGATCCCCGACCCCAACCTGGCCCGTGGCCATCCCTATCCACAAAGCACCTTTTGTTTTGTTTTCAAGATATTATTCAACTTATAATATCATAAATATAAATCCATAAATTTGCTTTTTAGAAAGTATTGTATTTCGATTGGTATTTGGTTGTAATATCAATATAATATTGATGGTAATGATTAATTAATTACATATTTAAATCCTTAAATTACGTGCTTCAATTTAATTGTCCACAAGCACGTTTAACAACCAAGAAAAGCTTTATGGTTAAATTATTTAATTAATCGTTTAACAACCAAGAAAAGCTTTATTGTTAAATTATTTAATTAAACGTATTACATGTGTTGAGATTGTGGAGTCAAATTCAATCTAAATTAATATTATATTAGGACATGAATTTTTCTAATATATTTCTATGTAAAATTGTTTTTCTTTAGAAATACAATTAGGATTATGAATATAATTGTATTAGGGATTAAAATACAATTCTTATTAGGATATGAGTTTTAAGTTCTATTAGGAATAGTATCTCATGTATTATCTATGAAAAGTGTTTAAATCCTAGAATTAGATAATTGAATAGAATAGAAGGTAAAACCACAATTAAAAAATAAGAGTTAGTAAAAAGATGTTTAGTGAGAGAGAGTCAATTTATGAGGCTTGCGAGAAACTTTTGTAATTTTTCTTCTTCACAACAACAACAAAGTGGATCGTAACTCTTATATAAATCTTGTGTTTGTGTGTATTATTTTTTTATTTGTTTTATTTTCGTTTTTATGTGAATTTACAATTTGTTAGCATCTTATTAAATCCCCATAACAACACGGCGTGGTATTATCTATTTTTGCAAAAGAAAAAAATAATTAGCCCTGACTCAAGGAACACAAAACAAGACTACGGAAAAAGATTATAAACTGATAATAATAACTGCTCTATATTTACTTGACAGTAATTCACCCAATCGAGCGAGCTAACGTTCTTGCATACTTAAAGAGAGTGGATTACAATGGAATTAATATACAATACTTATTAAATAAGCATTAATTATATGAAAGCTAATTATAGATGTCAAAAGAAAAAGTTGCTTATGGCCCAAATTAAAGATCTTGATTGACCATCAAATCGAAGTATTTTGTCCTTTTCATGAATGCGAATCCAATTGGTGTAAATTAAATATTTCACGTCTCCATGATTGAAGCTTAATTTATCTCTAAATTAGTTGAACTTTAGGGTCTTAATTATTAAAAGAGCTCGCTAGAGAAGAAGAGATTAAGTAAGAGAAATATGGAAGCTAATTACAAAGAGACAAACTCCATTTCAGCTTCACTTAAATCTTACCCCATGAATGGTGGAGAAGGCCCTTATAGCTATGCCAATAATTCCAGCTTATATCAGGTATCAATCTCTCTATGAAAAACGTTTTTACACTAAACTTAAGACGAATAATATCTACTATTTTCAATTTTGTAGAAAAGAGGACTGGATATAGCCAAGACATTTTTATACGAAGAGATCACCAAGAAGCTTGACGTGAAGCTGCTTTGTTCTTCTTCAAATTCCTTCAACATTGCAGATTTGGGATGTTCGGTTGGACCCAACACATTTCTGACCATCCAAAATATTATAGAAGCCATAAAATTCAATTTCCAATCCCAGAACTTGAACCCTAACACCATAGAATTTCAAGTCTTTTTCAATGACCATACTTTGAATGATTTCAACACTCTCTTCAAGTCTCTTCCTTCTGACAGAAACTATTTTGCTGCTGGTGTGCCTGGCACGTTTCATGGAAGCTTATTTCCCAAGGCCTCATTGCATTTTGTACACTCTTCTTATTCGATTCAATGGCTCTCTAAAGCTCCGGATGAAGTTCAAGACCAAGGCTCTCTTGCATGGAACAAAGGGAGGATTCTTCAAGATGGAAGTGAGGATGTTGAAAAGGCTTATGCATCTCAGTTTGCTGATGATATGGTGTCGTTTTTGAGAGCTAGAGCAATGGAGATTGTCCCTGGAGGTTTCATGGCTCTTCTCCTTCCATGCATACCACATGGAGCAAATCCTTCAAATTGTTCTTTGATTGCAAATTTGGAACTTATGGGCTCTTGCCTAATGGACCTCGCCAAGAGGGTATGGATATATAATTAGTTGTTCAATAATTCTACTCATGAAACTTGTTTCATCTTCAATTGCATGGCCTGGAAGTATTTATTAAACAAATCATTTGAGAAGTTTCAAAACCTTTTTTCATTACATATAATGATAAGTGATTAAAGAATAACGATTTGTCTGAGGGATCTCAAATTTTCACCCAAGAAAAAATAAATTTTATGAACTTTACATTATTTTTGGGCAGGGTTTTGTGGAAGAAGCAAAAGTGGACTCCTTCAACCTGCCCTTCTACTTTGCAACTAAGCAGGAGATGGAGCTATTGATACAGAGAAATGGGTGCTTCAAGATTGAGAGAATGGAGCAAATGGAACGCCCCATGGGAGACATAACAAGACCAACTGTCGAGAAGTTTGCGTTGCTTATGAGAGCTGGATTTGAAGGGATTATTAAGCAACATTTCGGAAGCCATGAGTTCATTGAAGAGCTCTTCAACCATTACACAGACAAACTCATCGACCATGGCCTCTTCTTGGATTCTAGTTACATGCCGATGCTTGACTTATTTGTCTTTCTCAACCGCATTAAATGATCATTGAGTATTTTGTACAAATATCTATAATAAATTTTTATGTAAAATAATATTACAACTACCAAGTTACCAAAATGACTCTAGAAATAACTAATCCAGAATCAAACAACTCACAAACTCACACAAATCAACAGATCACACACAAAAACACCAAGGTTCACCCTAGTTCACTTGCTCAAGATTTGAGCAAGTTACATCCACGTTGAGCTTTGGAAATGGGAGAGCTTATTGCACTAATATTAAGAGTGTATCAATGATTACAAATCTTACAAGAACTCACACAAGAATCTTTCTCTTCAATTTGAAGCTACCTGTAACTTGACCCTTAGAGAGACTAAAACTCGGAATCCCTAGAATAAGAGAAATTACACCCTTATCGAATGACTAATGCCTAATCACTCAAGATCCTCACAAGTTACAACCAAATTTTAGAACACAATTGCAAGTAGAGAGCAACTGAGACAATAAGAGAAAAGCTTCGAATGAGAAATTGGGTGATTCTGATATTTGTCTCTTTTTATACTGTTAACATGAAGGTGAGATTTCAGCCATTGGATTGGTGTTGGATCAATGGTCAGGATCCAATTCAGCTAAGCCCCCAAAACGACAACGTTCCACTAACTCTCCAATGCGAGCCTTTACTTCAACAATTTCCACCTTGAAGGCTTGAGACTCCTTTAATGCAGCAAGCTCATAACCAAGTCTCTCATAGCTCCTGCCACCCCTGCCTACTTCATAAACAATAAGTTCAAGCAGTGCTTGAACTTGGCAAGAGTGACAATCTTTGTGCCCCTATCTACAGGATTGTCTTCGGTGGCAACCTTTTTCAAATCAATCACTCATTGAGTGACTAAATCCCTTACAAAATGAAAGCGAACATCTACATGCTTTGTCTTTTCATGATAAACTAGATTCTTAAATGGATTGCGCTTTGGCTGTCAAAGTAGATGATTACCTTCCCCTCAATCAAACTTACCTCTGATAATATCCCTTGCAACCACAAGGCCTCTTTGAACACATCGGCAATGGAAATATACTCTGCTTCAGTCGATGAGAGGGCTACTACTGGTTGTAGCTGAGACATCCAGCTTATGCAGTTTCCACTGATAGTGAAATAATAGGAGGTAGATGATTTTCTTGAGTCTTTATCACCTGCAAAATTTGAATCTACAAACCCAACCAAATCAAGTGAAGCATGTCTTTTATAGAATTCTAACCCAACATCAAGTGAATTATTAATATATCTTAAAACCCAATTTAGAGCAGGCCAATGCTCACTACCAGGGTTAGCCATAAATTGGCTCAGCATAGAAATGGCAAATGATAAATCTGGCATAGTGCTTATCATAATATACATCACAGATCCAACTACATTAGCATATGGGACAGATTCTATTCTTATCAATTCATCTTCAGTTTCGGGGCATTGGGTTTTACTCAACACAAAGTGGTTGGCTAGAGGTATAGAAACCAGTTTGGAATCAACCATTCCAAACTTTTCTACCAGTTTCTTAAGTTATGAATGTTGACTAATTTTTAGCTCACATTTTTTCCTATCTCTGGTTGTAACAATTCCTAGGATTTCTTAAAATTTCCTAAATCTTTTATGTCAAATTCATACCTGAGTTTATTTTTCAGTTCATATATTCTAGACTTAGACTTACTAACCAGCAACATATCATCCACATACAGTAATAGATATATAGGCATGTTCTCATTCAAGGCAAAATAAAAACAACTATCATATCTACTTCTAGCAAACCCTATGCTCACAATAAATGTGTCAAACCTCTTGTACCACTGCCTAGGGGCCGGACTGTTTCAACCCATATAAGGATTTATGCAAGAGGCAAACATGGTTAGGCACTTTATAATCTATAAAACCAATTGACTAGCACATGTAAATCTCTTCTTCTAGGTTTCCATGTAAGAAAGCAGTTGTCACATCCAATTGTTCTAGTTCTAGGTTGTGGTGGGCAACAATAGAAAGCATTAGTCTAATGGTCTTATATTTTACTGCTGGAAAAAAGACTTCATTGAAGTCTATTCCCTCTCTTCGGGTATACCCCTTAGCAACTAGCCTACCTAGAGGGATCAGTAGATAAAATACCTTCTTTTACCTTAAACAGCCACTTACACTAGATCAATTTCTGGTCCTTTGGTTTGGGAACCAAAGACCATGTCCTGTTTACCTCTTACAACCTCATTTCCTCTTCCATTGCTGCCCTCCACTTGTCTTTCTCCTTGGACCTCATAGCTTTTTCATATGAGTATGGTTCTGTTCACTACACCTCTATACCTTCAAGCAAAGCAGTGTAAATTAGTTCAACATATGGAAATCTAACAAGGGGTCTTACCTCTCTCCTAGTTCTGTCCCCTGCAAGTTGGTAATGCTTCAATTCATCTTGTTGGGGTTCTAGTGTGTCTTATGCAGCTTCTTCATCTTCTTGTTCAGGACCATTTGGTCCTAGTTCGGCTTCTGGAGGTTGCTCAACTTCTAGTTGAGGTGGATCAGCTTGCTATGCCACAGGCTCTACCTCAATTTGTGTAATTTCAATGGAGTTAATAGGATTTTCAAAGATATTAGGGTTGCCTACATCATGGTTAGTAGCTTTGCAAGGGAAAAGCCCTTCATTAAATACAACATCCCTACTTACAATGATTTTAACACTTGGTGATTCTCTATCCCATAATCTATAGCCTTTGATCCCTTCTTGATATCCTAAAAATACACAATTAGTGGACCTAGGTTCTAATTTTCTTCCTATTGTGTGTGCATAGGCTGCACACCCAAAAACCCTTAAATGGCTAAATTAAGGCCTTCTACTAGACCATATCTCTTTTGGGCATTTAAAGTCTATGGCAGTAGATGGACTTCTGTTTATTAAGTAGGCTACAATAGCCAAGGCCTCTCCCTAGAAAGTGTTTGGTAGTCCTCAGGTGAATAACAAGCATCTTACCTTTTCCAGCAAGGTCCTATTTATCCTCTCAACAACCCCATTTTATTGAGGAATTTTCCTTACCGTTCTATGCCTTAGGATACCCTGCTCACTACAAAATTTGTCAAATTCAGCATTGCAAAACTCTAACCTATTGTTAGTCCTTAAGGCTTTTACTCTCATGTCTAATTGCTTCTCTACAAGCAGTTTCCATTCTTTAAACCTAGACAGGGCTTGGACCTTAGTTTTTAGAAGGTAGACCCACACTTTCTTGCTATAATCATACACAATAGACAGAAAATAGCTATTACCACCATGGGACCTTATCTTCTCAAGCCCCTATAGGTCAGAATGAAGATACTCTAGACAGCTAATGGCTAAGTGAATTCCCTTTGAGAAACTCACCCTATGTTGCTTACCTAAGACACAATTCTCAGATAATTCTAAAGTGGAAACTGAATCCTTACCAAACATTCCTTGGTTACTAAGGATGTTCATCCTTTTCTGACTCATATGACCCATTTTGAGGTGCCATTTTTTAGCCACAGATAGGTTAGCAAAGAATAAAGCAGTGTTAAAACATTCAGAGCAGAAATCACCACATAGGATATAAAGACAATTCCTTTTTTCTCCTTTTAGAACTAAGTTTTGGTTTCTATACACATTCAACCACCCATTTTCAGCCCTGTAGCAACAACCAACTTCATCTAAAGTTCCAAATGAGATAAGTTTCCTTTTTAGTTTAGGGATAAACCTAACCTTAGTCAATTTTATCAGTTTCCCCCCACTAAGCCTTAGAGTTATACTGCCTATGTATTGTGTATAAAGGTCCGTCTAAGGGATCAGAGTGTCATATGTGAGTAGAATAAGGTTAGGAAGAACTTTGCCAATATGCTGCGTTTTACTAAAAATGCAGTATATATGTGCTTTGTACTGTAGCTTTCGTCTTTAAGCAAAACAGAAATACCCAGATTACTTGACTGAATTTGTTACTCTCTTAACCACTTTCTCTTCTTCTTTTCTCAAAGATTTTTGCTGAGATTCTTTTCTCTTCATGGTATCAGAGTTATAGACAAACGTCTTTGGTTCAATTTTCTCAGATTTTTCTTCTTTTTCTTTAAGAATTTGTAGCTCAATTTCTGAAATTAGTAAACATGGAAGCTGGATCCAGTACCTTGACAGCTTCAGGAACTCCACCTACTCTACCTACAATCTCTATAAAGCTTCTTGACAGGAATTACTCATTTTGGCGTTCACAAATTCTTCCAGCCTTAATTTCGCATGGTCTTGATGGATATGTGACTGGGGAAAAAGAATGCCCTCCAATGTTTGTAATGGAGTCCGACAAGGAGTCTGGCAAATTGGTTAAGAAAGGAAACCCTAGCTACTACAATTGGAAGAAAATTGATCAATTCTTGGTAAGTTGGCTCTTATCTTCACTTTCAGAGTCCATGTTCCATCATGTAGCTAAGTGTGGCACTTCATATGAAATATGGAACACTGTTGAACTTCATTTCCAATCACTGTCCAGAGCTAGAACTTTACACTTGCGAAACTTATTACAAACCATTAAGAAGAATGCACTTAGTATTAGTGAATATGTCTTGACTATGAAAGGTTTAGGTGATGAATTGATTGCCAGTGGAGTGTTGATTAGTGATGAAGAGTTGTTGTACATTTTAGATGGATTAGGTCCTGAGTATGACGCTATAGTGGCTTCATTGACTACCAATAGTAATAACATGACCTTGCAAGAAGTGCAATTCTTCTTACATAAACATGAAATGAGGCTTGAAAGACAGAATAGTGCTCTGAATATGTTTCCTGATCAACTAGCCTCTGCTTTGGTAGCCTTTAAACAGAACTCTAGCGATGGCAGCTCTGATCCTAATTCTGGAATGAGTTATCATAATTCTGGTTTAAGCTCTGAAAATCTTAGTTTCCAAAAATATGTGAATCCACAGACTTTGTCACAAACAAGTCAAGGTTCTATTCAACCTCAGTTTAGTCAGGGGGCTGTTCAATCAGGTTCTGTTTCACCTCAGTTTTCTGGTTTTTCACAATTCCAGTCTTTGAGTAGCATTCCTGGTCAATTTACTCAATTTCAGCCACAATACTCTACTTCGCTGGATATGCAAAATCAGTTCCTCCATCCTGGGATGATGATGTTTCACCCTCATATAAGACCTAGAGGAAAAGGTAGAGGTTCTTTTAAGCCTAAATTGATATGCCAAGTATGTGGCAAAGTTGGACACTCAGCATTGCAATGCTACCATAGGTTTAATCATGCATATCTAGGATTTACGGATTCTTCTGATGTGGTTGCTTCTCAAGCTCAGTTTCCAAATCAAGCTACTAAACCTGCTGCTCAAGCTTTTCTTGCAACAAAACTAACGCATGCACCACAGCAGTAGTCAGCCAATTATTCTCACACTGGTTTCAATCAAGAGCTTCCATTGTATCCTCAATCACTTCAGTCTGGAGGTTTACAATAGATTCAATATTCCCAGCCATCTTTGCAATAGTTTCAACACTCTTACCCATCCTCGCAAGTGAATTCATCACAACCTCAACAGACTGTGTTTAAAGGATCAAATGTGTTTGCACCTATGTCTACTCAGCATCTACTTGTTGCTGCTCTTCAAACAGTAACAGATCAGACTTGGTACATTGATTCTGGAGCTACGAATCATATGACAGCTGACAATAGTAATCTGATGGTTAAAAGTGATTATCAAGGTGATTCTCAGGTGCAAGTTGGAAATGGGCAGGTAGTTCCCATCACTCACATAAGTATGTCTTATGTTCCATCTAACTAAACTAAGAGACTTTTGGAATTAAAGAATATGCTTTGTGTTCCTCATATTAAAAAGAATTTACTTAGTATTTCTCAAATAACTAAGGACAATGATGTTATTGTTGAATTTCACTCCAATTGCTGTTTAATAAAGGATAAAACCACCAAGGAAGTCTTGCTACAAAGAGGCTTGCGAGATGGACTTTATCAACTGTAGATTTTACCTAGTCTGCTTTAGTTTTCTACCTTCAACAATAACTCAGATTCTGTTCTCAGATCTGTATCAAGTGGTATCAGTACAAATTTAGGTCCAGGAGCTAATATTGCTTTAGCTACTACAATGTCAGCATGTAATAAAAATGTTTCTGCTAATTCTGATGTTAGTACTACTATGTTGTGGCATGCTAGACTTGGTCACCCCAATGTTAAAACCTTAGATAATGTACTAAATAAACTGCATATACGTAGTGTTTCAAGCAATAATATGACATTTTGTGAAGCATGCCAATTTGGAAAATTGCAACGGTGTGGTTTTCCTAGTTCAAATTCTGTTTCAACTGCTACACTTGAATTGATTCATGCTGATTTGTGGGGCCCTACACCAGTGGTATCCTCTGAAGGGTAGAGATATTATAGTGCATTTGTGGATGATTATAGTCATTACACATGGGTTTATCCTCTGAAGTTGAAATCTGATTCCTATGGTATTTTTACATAGTTTCACCGTTTTGTTGAGAAGCAGTTTGATTTTAA